GGTTATTCACTTTTCGCAATTCATTCATATGGGTGTCGTATCTAAAGCTTTGTTTTTGTAGGTATGAATAAACCAAATGAAAGAGTACTATTTAAACTGAATTGATTTGACCAAAACACTACAAAACTGAAGGTTTTACTGGGCTGCAAAACATTCGAAGAAACACACAAAAAAACGGAACGTACAATACACAACTATGCTATCAAACTGTCAAATACATGACCATAGAATAACAGTTTCTTCTCTGTTTCAATTTCACCCGTGAAGATCCGGGTTAGAATTGGTCTTCAGTAACCCATGATTGTCGTAAGAGGCGACTAACGGGATCGGTTGGTCAGGCTTGCTGACTTGGTTGACACATGTCATTGTATCCCAATTGGGTAGATCACTGGATTATCTGGTCCAGACTGGACTATTTACAGACCGCCGCCTTATAGCTGGAATATTGCCCAGTGCGGCATAAAACTAAACTCACTCTCTCTCACTACCTCACTCACTCATTCACTCACACATTCGTCTAAACGGTAAAAGAATAAAACACTGAGTTAACTTACTGTGACTTTCAAATATTTCGGCAGCAGATGGACTGGTAACTATGCTGTGTGAAGAGAACGTCTAGAGGATGTCAACACCTTTAAAGTCAATACTATGCAATGGGGCCTTTTATATGCTGAATTACGGGGCATTTTAATAGGGGGATTCTCAACCTGATCTGCGTTACCTAGACACCACGAAGAATATTTTAGACCAAAAATGCCAATAGTTGACAGCGATTGCGTATCAGAATATCACCAGAAGTATTAACCCACGATTTTCTAATGACAACTTGAAATGAAACACCTATGTATCATAACACATCCTGTTTGGCCTCAAGTGATGACATTGCATCTAAGATAGGGCTAATTTATGCACTGAGGTTTTCATCCCAACCAGGTATTTATGTATATTCGAAAATACACCATATCACGTAATTTTAGGTATTTTCAAGGGATACACTGCATGTATGATGGTATTTCTCGTTACCATATTCCATTCGATGATTCTAAATGTCAAACCAGTTCAATTAAATGTAAGTCTACTATTGGACTCTCTATTAGAAATAATATCCGTGTATGTTCTTGTCAACAAGGGTTTAGCAGTGATTCATAGACACATGATATGGATTGTACAGTTGATCCGTCTTTATCAGATATTTCTAATAGGAAATAGCTTTGGCGTATGTATTTTAACGCTATAGAAATCCATACAATACATTTTAAGACAATTATGAGTTTGTATATCGTTGCTTAATCGTATACCCTCATCAGTAACCAACATCGATTCTTCATGTTGTTGTTATAATTTTGTTTTTTCCATTATTATTGAAAGAAATTCCCGAAAAATATGAAAAATTATCTGGTGTGCTTAAGTTGAAAGACGCATGCAAACACTGATGTAAATTCCATTACCTATCAATTTAGCCACAATCCTTTGGTTTTGTTTAATTGTGGAGCCTGTGCTTCATAACCATTTGTTTATGATTGTGTTCATACCAAAAGACGATAAAATATGGTACTTGTTGGTCCCTGCCTGGCGCTCGTCATTACTGGGTACATCAAGGACTGGTCGGCTCGGAGCACAAATGGTCAAAGTGTTGTTGACTATGTGCTTTGTTCGGACAATGCTTTTGAACGTTTTGATGATTTTAAAGTGTCCGATGAAGTTGAGTCGACTCATCTGCCAATAACATTTTCGTTTTCATTGACACTGAATAATAATGATCGTTTCTACAATCTTTCATCGAAAACTAGATATCGATGGAACAATAACTGTTTACTTAGAATACCTGCACAACTGGGATGTATTACCACCCGATGTTATAAACCAGTTTCATTCCTTTATTGATAACGGTGATGTTCAAGAGGCATCGTCACTTTTTAATACGGTTATGCAATCATGTGCCAGTTTCTGTAAATCTAGTGTATTGTCGACAAATAATGTTCCAAAGGGAGACAGCTAGTATGACGGTGAATGCAAGAGTGCACGTGATACCGCTCGGCGCCTTCTGCGTGCATTTCAAGCAAGTAACTGTATATCTGATAGACAACGTTATGTCGAGTCTGTGTTACACTATAAACAGTTGTGTGCTGCGAAACTGTCTTCATCATTTTCAGATTACACACATAAACTTAGTAACGCACTCTCTACTAAAGACAGTGAATTATTCTGGAGAACTGTGAAATCGAAATCATCATTTGTAAACAATAATATTACACTATTTGACTGGATGAATCATTTCAAGAATGTTTTTCAGTCTTCCTATTGTTCAGCCGATGAAGAACACTTCTATATTTTTGTCAAACATTTTGTTGATTCAATCAGTGATAGACTTATTGATTCATCTGTGGACAATGACTATTTGGTTAAAGAAATATCCTACCAAGAAATAGTTAATGCTATTCAAAGAAATGTATAATGGAAAAGCACCAGGACCCAGTGGCATTCCAACTGAATTTTTAAAAAATGCACCTCATCATTGTATTGATTTTTATTGAAATCTCTTTTAATAGCATTTTGTCTACAGGTATTTATCCATCTCAGTGGACGTATGGAGTTATAATTCCTTTGTATAAGAAAGGTACAACTGATTTCCTGGGAATTATAGACCTATTACACTGCTTGAAGTAACTGGTAAAATACTTTGTAAAATTATCAACAACAGGTTAAACCCTTGGGCTGAAAGGGAAGAATTTCTTCGTTGACGAGCAAGCTGGGTTCAGGTATGGTTTCCAAACACATGATAATATATTCATTCTTAACGCTATAATTGATAAGTATCTTCACTTTTACAAAGGCCGCCTCTATTGTGCATTTATTAACTTGAAGGCCGCTTTTGACTCAGTTGATAGGTGTGGTCTCCTTACAAACTGTGGCTTGGCAATGTGAAAGGTAAAACCTACAGGCTATTGAAAATATGTACCAAAATGTTAAAGCTTGTGTGTCGATGAGAGATGGTTACACACCGTTTTTGATTGTTTATCAGGAGTTCGTCAGGATGCCAGTTGCCCCTATTCTCTTTTCCTTCTTTGTCAACGATATTGTTGACTGTCTATCCGCTGATGGTCAGAGAGGTATCAATCTAGACTTAGTTGAGCTGTTCATCCTATTGTTTGCATTGATGATATTGCGCTTTTGACTTTACAGTTATAGGTCTGCAAAAAGAGGCTAGACAAGCTCGTTTCGCATTGTAACAGGTGGAAATTGAAAATAAATATTGATGAAAGTAAAGTTATTGTATTCAGGAAGGCTGGTCGACTAAGACATTACGAAAGGTTCCATTTGAATGGACGGTTGCTTGAAATTGTTGCATCATATAAATACTTGGGTGTTCACTTCTCTTCCTCTGGATCTTGGTATGTTACACGGAAACCATTTTAGCCATTGTTACTAAACGGAAGTGAAGTCTGGGGTTTCCACCCGTCGCCATCTGTATTGAATGTACACGATAGGTTCTGTAAACAGGTTTTGGGTCTTTCAAGATACACGCAAAATATTGCAGCGCGTGCTGAGATTGGTCGTTATTCATTAAAGGTAAATCAGTACATTAAGATTGTTAAATATTGGGTTCGCCTCCTGTCTCAAGTTGAGAATGTAATCTTAAATAAGGTATATGCGTATCAGTATTGTCTTGCTGAAAAAGGTATAGATTGTTGGGCTTTTAAGGTGAAATCTCTTTTGTACAGTTATGGTTTTGGCAATGTGTGGACCAATCAAAGTGTTGGAAATATCTCTACTTTCATATCATTATTTAAGCAAAGATGTATTGATATAGATAACCAGTTGTGGTCATCTCGTATTATACTTGTTTCGAAATTGGATTTTTATCGCAGGCTCAAAGAAGGTGTAGTTGTTGAGTTCTATATATACATATTGATAGTGTTAGTGTAAAACAGTTTCGAATCTTCTTAAGTAGATTTCTGTTGATCAAACCACAATTTGATGATAGAGTACGGTAGACATTTAGGTCTTAAAAGGGAGGATCGCCTGTGCCCGCTTTGTATCATACCTAATATAGAAAATGATTATCACTTTTGCCTGGAATGCCCTTTTTATGGGAAATTAAGAAATGATGTCCTCCCTAAATATTATCACATATATCCATCTGAAGTGAAATTAGCTCAGTTGTTTACATCAAAGAATATTTATATTATAAATTGTCTTGCAAAATATCTATTTTTTGCCATGAAAAAACGACATAAATTTCTTTCAGTCTTCGTACCCACAAATGTATAATTGTGCAGCTCTCATGATGTTGTACCGTGCTCTAATGATTGTATATTCTGTACACCTGATGTATAATGGCCCCTTAACTGAATAAAACTCTCTCTCTCATAAGTGTATTATGCACTACCAACTGTATCTGTTATGCTAAACTGTATTGTTTGCTATGCCAACATTGATATTCCATTTTATTACCCACATGGTCAACGTATGGGTAGTTGCATATTAATCTCGTACGTCACACGAGTGTCGTATCGCGTTGACCTGTGTCGTAACGACTTGACCTGAAATTCTAAGGATTTAATTGGATAACCGATGACCTCTCAATTAGGTCACATTCTGACGTAACTATTTTTTCATTCATAACAAACACGTGAATTCATTCATTCTACAACTTAAATGCATTGTGGGAATGTAAACATTGCGAACGTTGCCGTGTCGCTGTTTAATTGTGAGTCGAACTGAGACATTATATCTGTCGAAAAACATAAACGCAATGTTTCCACCAGTGATGTTAGCCGAATGAAGCAACTGGAAACCAAGAAACGAGGTGCAACGGAGTAGTTAACTGTAGGAGGCTGTACGAGGCGATGACAACCGACATGCATCGTGACGTCGGTTACCATGGCAGTGACGTCATTAGTGTGACGTCATGCAAATATTGTACTACAGTACAAAACTCCGCAACCTCTTCATGAAACCGGTTTCGGTTTGAAACCAAAACATGACAAAAATACGCCATTTTGTCAATTACAATGCATGTAAGACGAGGGTAATAAATAAATACCCACACTCGGTCTCATGACATGCGAATTATACGAAATCGTGACCTTCCTATGTTATCTGACCTCGCTTTTGCTCGGTCAGATACCATAGGAAGGACACTCGTTTCGTATAATTCGTATGTCATGAGACCGAGTGTAGTATTCTCTATGTATCACATTCACCATAAAAATCATGTACCCTGAATAAACTTTCTCTTGTAAGTGTACTACGCACTACCTGCTGTATATGTCATGCTAGTCTATATTGCATGTTATACCAACACTGTTTTTCCATCAAACCATACTTATATACTTTTGTATATGCTACACTGAAATGAATAAAAATATTTGAAAAAAAGAACAAGGTCGATTAAAAATGTCTTATTTAAGGGTTCAAATATGGATATGAAAAATGGGACACATTATCAAATGGTAGACAAACAGCTGTTTTCCTTTCAAACACTGGGGCATTTTGGACTGAATTATAATACTACCACGTCACCCGACTTCTGTTCGGAATAAAGAATGTTTAACTAACTACTGGAAAGATTTATACATCTTAGATGGACTAAAGCAAGATCGACTGAAAATATCTTATGTAGGGGTGAATATTAATGTGGTAATATGGATGTGAAAAATGTGACACATTTTCAAATAGAAGACACACACTTTTACCTTTGTCCACACTTGGACATTTTAGACTTCGGATGTATTGAAATATGGAAGTGTGGCTTAAATCAATGAAAAGTGCAGAAATTCTAAGCAAAAATCCAAATAAGAGTGAGTGATTGAGTTGGGTGTTACGCTGCTTTTAGCAATATTCCAGCAATATCAGGGCGGGGGACAGCATAAATGGGCTCATACATCTAACCATTTGAGGAATCGAACCCTGGTCTTCGGCGTGACAATCCAAATAAGTACAGTTATGAACTAGTATCAACATTTATGAACCAGTATGAACATGTATGAACAAGTATGAACATGTATGAGCAAGTACGAACGAGTATGAACAAGTATGAACATGTAGGAGCAAGTACGAACGAGTATGAACATGTATGAACATGTAGGAGCAAGTATGAACATGTATGAACATGTAGGAGCTATGAAATATATTCACAAGAATCTCCCCAATCACCTTTTTGAAACATTTTATAGATTATTGATTATTCTATTCAGCTGATACAGTAAGGCGCGTCAAGCATGCACGAATTTAAACGAAATAAGTCTACTCTAATCTGAACACATATAATTACTTTCGAGAAATGATTTGTATATCTCTTCTTTCTTTTCCAGAAATCATGCACATCCACATATGGGTAACAAATGGTTCTTTATGGTACCCCCACCCATGTAATCTCTTATTGGTCATTTACATTAAGTAATTACTCATAATGTGCATTTAATCAGCAATAATCCAGCGTGTAATATTTCCTTTTCAAGATTTTACAAGTAACGTGTTTCGATGTAAGTTTCTTTGAAACATGTTTTTTAATTTTGCTGAATGTTGAAAGCACAATATTACATTTTAAGATCAGAACTTGTTCATGGTCGATTCAATTAAAGGCCCGAGAAGTAATGTAATCCCAAATGTAACATTGCTAGATTTGAACCGCTGTTTGTACATCAACATACGAGGCAACGATATGGACTCTTAGGATATACAATTTATCAATGAAGCAAATGATCCCACATCGCTGCAATTAATTTAAAACAACTTCGGACTGTATGAAGGTACACACAATTATTACACGCATTCTGGATTTCACCGGCGCCATTTCGGCTTGTAGTGGCCTGTAGGGGGTGGGGTGGGGACGCCGCTTCACTTGTAGTTTTTTGCGGGGAAGAGGTGGGTAGCTGAAATATGGGGAGGCTG